AATGAACAACTTCGAAGCACCGCAACTCCTCTAATCTAAGCCCACTTCTCAAATAGCTTTACATTCAAACGAGGGTGATGAGAAGCCTAATACTTCTAACACATACACAAGCCCGAAACCTTCTCAGATGAAACTCATTTCTCGAAAAGGACCAAAATTACTTCCCTCTTAAACCTCAGGGACTCATAATTAAACACTTAAAGAACAGGGTGTTACAAAGATTATGCTCTACAACTCTCGTTTAGACTCCGTTGGCTAATTTTGACTTTATTTTTAATATATTATAAATATATTATTTTTAGTAAGCCGGGACAGGAAAAGTCCATTATAAATTCATAACTTTTTCATCCGATGCCCGTTTTCATCTGGGTTTTTACTGTTGCACTACCATTGACGAGATATTCGATTATCTTTTAGATTATTTCGGCTAAAAACTGCTCGATCTCAAAGTCGAACTTCGGGATGCATACTGCTAAACTGAAACTTAGAAAAATCATAACTTCCTCATACAAAGTCAGATTTGGGCGTTCTTTTTACGCACGCTTTCGGTTTAATGTATTCTACAACTTTTGTTTAGATCGCTAAGGCCAAATATCGCTATAACATAAATTCACTATTGTCACACCCCAAAACCGAAACGGCGGAAACGTTCTGGGGTGGATGACGTCATGTCAAGTATCACAACACATGCATTATAGTAATCAAAGTACAACAACCATTGCATTAATAGTCATAGTTTTACATAGTTTACATTACAATACATCAAAATAATACAAGTAATAATATAGGTGCAGCTTGGTACTAAACTGTCTTCGTCAAAAGCTCCGATGATGTACCTGTCTAATGCTGACCTGAGAATACAAGTTATTTGAAAAGTGAGTATCAGCATTTTTACAAATGCTGGTGAGTTCATAAGTATTTAGTGTCATTTTATTCAAATAACTTTAATAAAAGTGGTAGTTTTAGAGTATCCTCTAAATTAGTGTCTTTTCTAGAAAATCCTATATTTTCTTTAATAAAAGCAGTCTTCTACTAAGACTGGACGGAGTTATGTGGTAAAAAATGGTTTTCCTATCGCTATCATTATCAAAATATATAATTTGATTATTAAAGAAAGCAAAAGAAATCAGGGAAATAACATATGCCTCAGCAGTGAAGACTGCTGACTAAGGCAAAAGGAATCGTAGACTCCAGGAGAGTATCGAACAAACGACACGCCTGGCTCAGTCTAATCAAAGGGAGACACAGACCCCAGACGGTACCAAATGAAAGGCACAACTAGCATGGTCTAAAAACAGAGAATACAGACCCCAGACAGTATCAAATGAAAGATACAGCTAGTAAGGTCTAAAACAGAGAATACAGACCCCAGACAGTATCAAATGAAAGATATAACTAGCAAGGTCCAAAAACAGTGTGACTCTGAGAGTGGGTTTCCAGCATACAGTGTAAAATACAGTGTAAAATACCGTTACCTTAAGGCCATGAATTATAAGGTAGCCTAGGATACTCGTAACCATACTAACCGATACTAGAGTACTTGACGCCCTGCAAGCGTCTATATAAACTATGACATTTGTCACCCCTTGGCTTGGTAGGCCGTGGACTGTAGCCAGCAGTCAGGGTGCGGGGGTGTCAATCCCGTATGGATCTATACACACAATGTCTGCTCTCCCAACAGGAAACTTTGGTTACCATCTAGACGACGGAGAAGGCCGTGTCCCGAAGATGCATCCCAAATAGTGGGTAGTGGGTTTCCAATATAAGTGTTGAACTAGTGGTAGAGACTCATAACTGAATTGAATAATGTAAACCTATATGTCTATGCTTGTATACATAATATATAACTAATGATTAAATGACATTCGGACGGACATCCGATCCCACCAGACCACATCTCAACGAAGAAAAGGAAATAGGGCGAACAAGCCTTCCTAAGTCCATCAATCATTATGTATATACATCTATACAAGCATAGGCATACATCCAACTACGTTTGAGTGTGTAACAAGTGGAAACGTATCGTGAAGTATAACCAAATCGTGATGTATAACCGAATCATGTGGAACAACCAAATCGTGAAGTGTAAACGAACAGTGTGGAATAACCGACTCGTGATGTATAAGTGAATCGTGATGTATAAGTGAATCGTGATGTATAAGTGAATCGTGTGGAATAACCAAATCGTGAAGCGTAAACGAACAGTGTGGAATAACAGACTCGTGATGTATAAGCGAATCGTGAAGCAAAAGTGTCATCAAGTATAAGTGTACCCCGAAGTGGAATCGTTAATAGGTATAAGTGGAACGGAAACGAGATCAAGTATAAGTGAAGAAGAAGCGCATCACTAGGTAAAAGCGTATCAAATAGGAGTTTAAACTAGGTGGAAGTAAAGCGGCTGTGTCAAACAAGTGAGGGTATATAACATGAAAGAAAACCTTGATGAAAACTTGGGAAAAACCTTTATACTTAAGAAAATCGCAACTTAGTATTCTTTGGTAAAATAAGTTTGAAAACCTTTAGAAATCCTTTAGGAAACCTTTATAAACAATTTTTAATGAAACTATGATAAAACAATATAAGTAAGAGATTTGAACAAGTGAAAATATTTTAGAAAAACATTTATAGTCTCATACTTGGTAAAACAGTTTACAGTGTAGTAAATCCTTGTGCATGCGGGTTATTAATCACACATGATTAATATGATAACTGGCATGTTTAAATTGTATTCCCTCCTTATAAAACATGTAAAAACATTTAAAAGGTTCATTCAGAGGTATGAACTCACCTGTGTAAGTGGATCCGACGAAGGTGCCGGTTGGGTGGTCGGTGTCAAGTAAAGACTTGGACACACTTAGTGACCTATTTAACATATGATAACATATGTTCACATACAATTAGTACATTTAATACTAATTAAACAATTATACGCACTCTAAGGAGCGGAAAACACTTTGGTTAAGTGTTTGGGGTGTCCCGGGTAACATTTAAGGGTGTGAATGGCTTAGGAACGGAGTTTACTCTCCTAGAGTAAACTCTATACATAGTGTTTACAGCCTTGAGACAACTCCCCATGAGTTTACGGCCATAAAATCATGGTGAGGGGGTTCTAGGATGTTTAAAGGCCTTATATTGATCATGGAATTTAGCTAGGTCCAAATCTAAAATGTATGAGTGGATTTAATGTGTTTAAAGGGACCATATGGGAGTTTACGGCCCATGAACCACCCCTATGGGAGTTCACGGCCGTGAACTCCTATACCCTTGGTTTTATGGAAGTTTAAGGCCCTTATTCCAATCCTAGTAATTTAAAACGAAGTATGAGGCCATTTGGAGGAATTAAAACTACCATTTGACATGGTTTGGAGGTGTTTACGGCCTAAGTATATGCTTGGGAGGTAAACTCCATTTCACCCCTCAAATCTATGTGTTTAATTGTTCTAAACCCAAAATAGCAAGCCCCTAATTTATGTATTAAGCCTAAGGATGGTTTGGGAGTGTTTGGAACTTGATTTTACAAGTTTAGAGGGTGTTTACGGCCTAAGCATGTGCTTGGGTTGTAAACCCTCTTTTATGCCCCAAAATTGATTGTTTTAAGGTGCAAACACAACTAGGCTAAATCCCATTACTAGAAAAACAGCCTTTTATGACGCTCATTGCGCGTCATAAAGGGCTCAGACGACGCGCAAATGCGCGTCAAAGAAGGCCCTATCATAAAGAGAGACGACACGCATTTACGACGCGCATTACGATGCGCGTTTACGACACGCAATGCGTATCAAGAAAGGCCCTATCATAAAGGAAGACGACACACATTTGCGTGTCGTAACCTTACGACGCGCGTGTTTATGACACGCATTGCGTATCAAGGAAGCCCCTGTCAAGAAAGGCCATGTTATAAATGAAGACGACACACATTTTTGCGTATCGTAATTTTAATTTTTTTTTTTAAAAAAAATTATCTATAGATTTACTGAATTTCAAATTAAATTTGCATATCATGTCTCATAATAGAAAATAAAATACCATATACAAAAAATACAATACATTGCACAAAAGTTAATGTCATACAGATAATCATTCCAATAGTAGAAAAATGTAACATTTCAACATTTTTTATATAATTAACTAAATTATTAGCCAAATTTCCTAAAATACCAACATACTTTTCTATGAAGAGTATTAACACTATTCTTTTCCATCAAAAACTTCAAAACCTGCATAATTAAATTAATGTGTAATCAGCTATAGAAATTTGTGTGACCATATGGATAATTCTCTATAAACACCACATAGAGGTATATAAGTGAAGTCAGAAGTCAGAACTGTAAGTAAGGCATTTGATGCAGCAACTCACAATGAAAAAGTTGATTGATAAGACTCTGGAACCGTTCTTGCATCATTAGTAGAGGAGCAGGGGGAAATGGGAATTGAGGACAAAATGATGTTCCTGTTTCAGGGAAAACACCACCAGCTGGACTGATAAGGTGACAGAAGGTCCGTAAATATGAATTTTTTTTAAAAAATGATTAGTTTTTAACATTTTTTTTATAGAAATCCACACGTGTTGACTTTGTCTCCAATCACCATGTAATAATTGCTACTTATATGGTGCATTAAGATACACAAATTGATTTCTTTTCTATAGGACTTTAGAAATGTTATAGATACACCATAAAATATCAAAAAGTCATAATTGAAAGAGTCATAAAAAGAAAGTTTTCATAAAAAAGCAACTTACATACACCATAAAAGAAAGTTAGTCACCAAGGAAAATAGAAGAAATAGGGGAGAAGAAAAGAGGGACGAGAACAGCAGAACCAAGAAAAAACAGAGGAACAATATTGCTTGGTGCTAAAGGTAACTTAACTGAATAAAACAATACTAGTATGTACTTTCAATTGTTCATGAACCTACTTTAATAGAAAAAATATAGCATACCTATCGGGTTTCTCCATGAAGTCAAATCCAAGTATATCATCAACACCAAGAGCACTAAGCTACAAAATAACATTAGAAAGGTTGCCTCTTTTGATCTCTGGCATTGTGGAATCATCATGTCCCTCAAATCTTCTCTCTGGATAAAGACAGAAGCATTTACCAGCTCCTTCACGCCCTGCACGACCGCTGCATCATTAGAAAAAAATTAAAGTTGAAACACATTTCCATCTTATTTTATTATATTCTCTGCCATCTCAAAATAAAATGCAATGTTTGACTTGACACTTAGTTTAATGAAGTAAACATGGCTTTATATTTGGTCCCTGTATATGTAGATGTGAAATCAATGTGCTTACCTCCTTTGAAGAGCTTGAGCTTTTGAAGTTGTAAGAACAATTAGAGACTTAATGCCGCTATCAGGAGAGTAACTCCTCACTTTTACCCAACCAGGATCAATCACATACTTAATTCCAGGTATTGTCACTGATGTTTCAGCAATGATAGTTTCCAGTATTAGCTACAGTAACAAACACACCAATTTGACTTCAGGAAAGTAATTAGGGGTGTAAAGGAAAGCTTTGGATAGAGCTTAAACATTGATTGGTACGTGATTTGCGCCACTACAACTGAATCAGCCTACAAAGTCCAAGAGAAATACAAGTTGAGATACAAACCTTTGTTGGTCAAGTATGGATGTTTGATATGGGTGGTCTACTCATCAATCTCGTTATCATTAATTTACAACCTGGTGGATGATAAAATTAAAGTTACCTAGCCCAAGGATCATTCCCGTCCCATAGATCTTTTGTTTCTAGAGCCATCTCAGCTAGGGCTATTCCTTCTTCTGTCAACTCCACTGAATTATCCTTAAGCTGTATATTGTAATGATGTGTAGTGAAACAAACAATGAGATACTCATACAATGGATATGGATAACAAGACATCAAAAAGGAAAAAGAAGGGCAAAAAAGTAAAATACGAGGCCACGCATGAGAAGCTCAGCTACTTTAGCTGCAACTGTGTAACGTGCAGCATCCTTGCTAGCCTGAGAATGAGATGCAGATCAAAATATCAAAGCTGTTAAGTAACTAGTTCCTTTTTTGTACTTTCCCAAATATTTTTTTAAACATCATTTATCCATACAACACTCAAAGTAAGAAGACATACCTCACCACTTATCAGCAATGGGTTTCTTCCCTCATCAATTAGGACATAATCAACTTCATCAACTATTCCCTCATCAATTAGGACATACACCATCGTGTTTCTCAAACCTGCATGATCAGAAGGGGAATTCTTGAATGGAATCAAAAATTCATTAACTATAACAATTATTTAACTATAACTAAACTTTTATTATACTTCAAATGATTACAAAACAAGTAAGCAACAAGACTGACAAAAATGTTTCAAAAAAAAAGTTGAAAATTATATGGCATGGGACAGGGGCATTTTAGGCATGAGAGAGCTTGATGAGATTTTAGCAAATATATTTCAGCAAGTATATTTTAGCAAGTACTTACATTTAACATAGAATAAAGATTTCAAGCAAATAGATTTAAAAAAATATTCAAATCATATCCCAACTTCAGATTTCAGCATGAGATTTTAGCAAATATATTTCAGCAAGTATGTTTGTTTCAACAGTTCATTGGAGATGGTGACCACGAAGGAAGATTGATGGGTACGAATTTATCATCACCAAGTAAAAAAATACACAGATAGAAGACATGAATTAGCCCATCTCCAAAACGAAGGATTTATGCTAACGGGTTCAGGTTCAGGTCCAAGTCTTCATCTTGTAGCGGTGGATGCAGGGGTGGCTGAGCAGTGGTGGTCCAGGTTGAGTTCGTCAGTTCAAAGAGAGGGGATAATCAAATTCCTGTAATTGATGCGAAGGGAACAAATAAAAAAAATCTTTGTTTTTCCCCTGGACAATAAAAGGGGTTAGATACAAGTGGCATAAAGGGAACAAATCAGAAAACATGTAACCTGTAAGACGTGAGCAAGTTACAAGAACTTTCTCTCTGTTTCTAAACCCTGGAGTGGTTATAGAGTCTTGTGTGTTTTCCAGCTAGTCTTTCCAACCAATAAGAGTCCTTTTAGTTCTCTCATGCGCCGTTTTATCCTTATTTGCCACCGAAACCTCTACTTTGGTGTGTTTTCGCAGGAGAAAGTTAGCGGGAGAATGAATGAAAGGGGAGATGACGAAAAAGATCTTGATGTTTGAGAATTTTGGGTGTGCAAAAGAATTTTGGGTGGGAATGAACCCTAAATCTCCAAGGTGGGGTTTTCTACTTTTTTGGGTTTTCTAATCGAAGTAGGGAGATCGATCGCCTTTTTCTGAGTGAAGACCTGGTGGAGGATAGAGATAAGAGAAAACCTGGTGGAGAAGGAGTCCCGTCCCTACATGTAATCTGCTGGCGACAAGGAAGAACAGCCAAGGAGACCACCGGAGCACCTCCCCCCCCCCCCCAAGCTGTGGCAGACAAGAGAAGCGTCGCTGCTTCTCCCTTCTCCTTTTGTCAAATCGATCCCGCACCAGAAGTGCTTCCCCTTTCTCGATTGATTTCCATCATCGAGCCACCATGGCTGCTTGTGTTCCCATCTTCCTTTCTCGATAGATGAACCACGACCACCGGACCAAAACTCCCGCTACCTTCGTCATTCTAATTCCCCTTTTTTCTATTTATCTGTGGGGAATAAGAAACAAACGAGAATCAATATTTGGATTCTAATATTGAGACTTGAAAGTATAATACTTAATTAGGGCTTTTTCTGAAAATTTCAACATCGAGTGGGGAATAAGAAAACTATTGGCGAGTATTCTCAATAACAGCAGAGAGGTGAAGAAGGTAAAATTACAACAACGATGAAGTAGATGAATGGAAATCAGAAGCCCTTTTTCTTGATTGAGATGATGAAGTCAAGAGATGGAGATGAAATCGTAACCTTCAATCCTTGATTGAGAAGTTGCACAACAGTGTGAGGAGAATGAAAGATGCGTGAAAATGCTTAGGGCAGGGAGGGTAGCGGGCTTTTCTAATTTTTTGGCTTTTCTTTTCCCGCTTGTAACTAAGGAACGCGCGTTCATTAAAATTATAAAGCGACACATATAGAGGGCGCGCATTTAAGGTAAAGCGCCCTCCGTGTTTTTAATTTTTTTTTCTTTTGACACTAATTTAAAGGCACGCAATAATGCGTGACCTAAATCCTTAAATTTTCTGAAGAGATGACACTTTTTTAATGTCACTCTCGTTTGCGTAACATATATTAATGAGTGTCATAATTTGCGCGTCGTAAAAGGCTATTTTTCTAGTAGTGTCCCCAATTAGTTTCCAACTTTTAGGGACAAATTTGGGTCATTTTGGCCTCTTATTAGGGGTTTACGGCCTAAGGAGGCTCTTAGGCCGTAAACTCCTTTTCAACAGCTTCCAAGTCTGATTTTTGGGGTATACTCACTAGTCATGATGTTTAGAATAGGTTAGGGTGAAGAGACTTACGTTTTGGAGGTGGAAATTCGTGGTTTTGAGTAAAAAACGGGCTTTATGAGAGAGAGAGAGAGAGTATAGAGAGAGAGTGAAAAGGTTGGAATGAAGTCCGTTCCCCCTTATATAGTGGCTTGAGTTGAGGCTCAGTGGGAATCCACCCGATACTGCCGTTAAACGGGACTTTCGGTTGCACCCGATCTAGTGGTCGTAATAAAATTAACTTTTTCCAAATTAATATGGAAATGTAAATTACGAGATTTTATCTTATCTTATTACAACAAATACCGACATGGAATATAAATAAATAAAACATTTATTTATTTTACGACCTCAAATTAACGGAACTTTTATAACGCGGAATATTCTGTTAACGGAAACGGGGTAATGTAACGGAACAAACTTTGGGTTGTCAAAACTATTTACGTCGCGATGTGTCGTGCCAATTCTGTCGTGTAACTTCGACGAGTCATAACTTCTTCGTTATAACTCAGATTTCGGCGTTCTTTATATGTACGAAATCCTTGTGACATATACTAAAACTTAGTTAAGATTAATCCTTCTAGATAATCTTCAATCAAAAAGTCATTTTTGATGCTTATCGTCTCTAAATTGACTAGCCTTGATCTATGGGCGTTACACACTTTCAATGATGTACTTTGTTTCAGTGGAAGGGACAGAGTTGCGGATGTAATAGTCATCAAACTTCACATGAAAACTTTCTCCTATTAGTATAGTACGTCTTACAAGAACCCTGTATGCAACTTTATTGGTGGAGTATCCCTGGAATATGCCTTCATCAAACTTTGGTTCAAATTTGTTAAGGTGATACTTGTTGTTGATCACAAAGCATTTGCAACCAAAAATATGAAAGAAGAGGAGATTGGTTTTACGGTTGTTGAGACCCTAATAGGGAGTCTTGTTGAGCCATTTGCAAATGATGCTTCTATTTTGACAAAACATGAAGTTTCCTCTACTTCCACCCAGAAGTAGCGAGCATGGTTGGAAAAGTTCAACATTGATCTAGCTGATTCAACCAATGTGCGATTTCTTCACTCTACTACTCCATTTTGTTGTAGTGTGTAGGGTGCCGAAAAGTTGTGACAGATGCCATTTGAAACCAAGAAGCTATTTAAGAACTCATTAGTGAATTCAGTCCCATCGTCACTTCTTATTTTTCTGACTGGTAGCTTTATTTCTTTTATGAAGTTGATCATGACTTGCGGTGTGTCTGATTTGAGGCTCAAGAAGAAGACACAAGTGAATCGAGTAAAATCATCTACTATAACCAGAATGTATTTCTTGTAATGAAGGCTGGCTATGGTAGATGGACTGCAGAGATCAATGTGAAGTAGCTCTAAGGGTTCAACGATCAAAGAATCTACTATCAAAGGATGGCTACCCTTTGTTTGTTTTCCACATTCATAAGTCGGGCATAACATATCATTGTTGTATTTGAGGATTGGCAATCCACAGAATAACTCTTCAGTCACCAAGTTGTTGATGTATCTGAAGTTGGGGTGAGCTAGTTTGGGGTGCCATAACCAACTTACTTTAGATATTGCTTTGGACAAATAACACAATGGCGGTTTTCCAATGATCAAAGCAACGTTGTCACACCCCGAAAATCGAAGGCGGAAACATTTCTGGGGTTGACTCCACGTTGAGTATCAAATCCAATGCACATAGTAAATAAAGTAAAACAACCATTACATTACATAAGAAAAGTTTTACAGTTGTTTCAAAAAGTAAAGTTTGTACAGTTGTGATACATAGTATATATAAACAAAATGAAACGGGTCTTCATGTACACCGTCATCTAACCAAAAAGGGATCTTCGGGTACCTGTTCTAACTCTGACCTGAGAACACAAGCGGTTTAAAAATCAGCATAAAGCTGGTGAGTTCATAAGCGGTTTTTGTTTGTGAAAATGTTCAAGTTTCCTTTCTGTTTCTGAAATGTTACGCACACCAAGAAAATCCCATATTTTCTTAAAAGCTGGTTGTTGTTTCACAAATGTAAAGTATAGTAAGTTTGTACACTGAAAACATGTCTACTCATGTAAAAATGTATAGTTTGGTTATCCGACTTGTTAAACTGTTCTGTTTACCTATCATGTATTCCCAGGAAAGTCCCATACTTTCCTTATTGTATATTACCAAATGTAAAAGATGTAATGTTACCCGGTTTGTTACACTTTCTAGTTATGTAGGAGTCACCCAGGAAATCCCCATGCTTTCCTGCATGTTGGTTTCCAATGTGAAAGATGTAAAAGATGTAAACGTGGTTAGGTTCCATGTTTTTACCCAGGAAAGTCCCATACTTTCCTGAATGTTGGTTACCATATGTGAAAGATGTAAAAGATGTAAAAGATGTATAAAGTGGTTCATTATTACCATAAGTAAATCTCTATTATCCTAATTGCGAGTTCCATAACCATACGATGGACTAAACCTGTGGCAATAAGCAGTCCACATGTGGCAATACGTAGTCCACATACTTATGACTTTCGTCACCCTTGAACCATTTCGGTTCGGCTGTAGCTAGCAGCCAGGCGTGGGGTAGTCAGCCCCGTATAGATCTATACACTCAAGTCACGCTCTCTAGATACCAGAGATTCTGGTTACGGGTGTAGTCCTCCACTCGCGTATCTCTGTGGAGTGTTCGCCGAGGACGTGTCTCCAATCATACAGGATTAACAAATTTACCAGTAATAATATGATAGTCCTCCACTCGCGTATATATGTGGAGTGTTACCGAGGACAAAACAGTGTACAGGTATTATATTCAAATGTCTAATGTCATGCTTTTAACTGATAAAATATGGAAAGCCATTTGTGAAATATATGTAAAACATAACAGTTTAAAGACCCATTTCACAAATATATGTTACGTGATCTGCATGTTCAAATGGTTATCAGTAGTAGTAATCAGTATTAAAAGCATATAGAATATGAAACACACATTTGAAAATAAGTTTTGAGTACAAGAACATTACACTCCAATGAGGTTAAACACCTTAAAACGAGCGTTTGGAGTGACCCGGGTGACATCTTCGGACGTGTAATGGCACTAGGGACTTGGGACTTGAGTTTACTCCCCAAGAGTAAACATTTCAGGGAGTTTACAGCCACATAACACACCCATACATGAGTTTACGGCCATAAACTCATGTTGGTGTGTTTTTGAGTGCTTAATGGCTTGTTTGGACATGGGGATTGTTGGAACGCATTTCTAAAATGCCTTGGAATGGATTGCATGTAATTATACCACTTAGAAGGGAGTTTATAGCCACAACTTTGGAGTTTACGGCCGTAAACTCACCCATGTCCAAGAAAAATTGTTTTAAGGCACAAGGAGCAATCACATGTGATTCTAACTAATTTTCTAAGGCTTGGTATCAATTTTTGGCTTCAATTAACACCTCTATGTGAGTTTACGGCCCAGATACATAATCTCTGGCCGTAAACTCTAATATGAGTATGAAAAATTAGTTTTTGATGCTTAAAACAATCACATGTGATTCTAGGAATTTATCCAAGCCTTTGGGGTGGTTTAAGGGCATTTTTGGCATGTCTTTATGA